TATATATATATATATATATATATATATATATATATATATATATATATATATATACACATGCCGCTGGCGATTTATAACGGCCGTTAACGCGATAAAGCGCTATTAAAGTTATTGCGATTGCGCGCACGCGTTGCTGCACGCGTCGGCCGCCGAAGGTCAATAATTAGAGAAACGACGGAATATCGCAATCGCCGCTTTTACAGATAATACACGCCCCCTCTTTGGCGTGACTAATGTTTACGAGATTGAAGATAATTACGCGTTTCTTGACACGCGCGCGCGAGCTCACTCACTCACTCACTCACTCACTCACTCACTCACTCACTCACTCACTCACTCACTCACTAGAATGCCGCTCGCCCGCGCATCCATTGAAGCCACACGACCACTTGCCGATCGTGAAATTCGCGATTCCGACCGCGGAATGATATATCGACGTGTCGTTTCGTTGAATTTCATTTTCCGCTTTTCGCGCTCAATAGACGCGCAGGAATGCGCCGCCGCCATCGCCCTCTCGCCCGCCGCCAGTTGTCGCGTTTCAGCCGTCGCGAATAAATGCGGAGGTCATTTTCGCGTGACCGACGGTTTCGGATATCGACGCGGGTTCCGGCGGGGCTCGCCTCGGTGAATTATTATTATCATTATTGCACTACCGCGGCTCTCGGCGCAATCGGACTTGAGCGAACGCGTGTACGCGCAAGACGCTCGCGCCTCACTTTTTATTTCGTTATGCAAATTCGGGGCGTAGTACTCTGATTAATAAATCCGAGCGAATCGCGGCTGACAGTCCGGCGGCGAGAATCGCGCGCGAAATCAGGTCGAGACGTGAGGTAAAAGGGTGCGTGACGTGGTCCAGACTCTAGCGGGAGAGCCTATTAAGGCCTCTTCAACTCCTCGGAGTTGATGAACCACCGACGATGGTCAGGGATGCTGCCGAGACACGCCGGTGATCCACCTCCTCCTTCTCCTCTTCCTCTTCGCTCGCTGGTACATCCCAGTCTGGTTTTCTCTCTCTCTCTCTCTCTCTCTCTCTCTCTCTCTCTCTCTCTCTCTCTCCCTCCCTCATTCCCTCTCGATCATCTTCTCTCTCTCTCTCTCTGTCTCTCCGGTCGCTCCGTGCCTCGTCTTGGATTTACCTACCTCGGGCACTCATCCTCTACCATGTCATTATGTCGTTATTTCCGACAACGAGCGTGTCTCGGCGAACTCTCTCTCGTACGCTTACCTCCGTTCCGACGGGAACGGGGCGCGAAGCGAGTTGAGCTCAAAATCTCACGGCAAACAGCACTTCCGAATCGCGTCAGCCGCGCTAAGTAGATCTTAACACATTGCGCGGAACCGGCAGTCATCTATTTGTCTATTTATTATTTCGCCGGGGTAGCCACGGTGCCGTTATTAATTCCAAGCGAACGCAACGTATTGATCGAGGCACAGCTCTTCGTGTAATTATCGTCCTAGTTAATTTAAAACAGGTTAGAGAGAGAGAGAAGAGAGGAGTGAGAGAGAGAGAGAGAGAGAGAGAGAGAGAGAGAGAGAGAGAGAGAATGTGTGCGGAAATCAACGATTATTAATATTAACGTACATCGCGATCGAAAACTACTAACAGCGACACGGCTACGCGATCTCTTAGGCGTGACATTTAACGCAACGCGCGAGAATCGCGCGTTGGATCGTGCTGCGAAATTTCTTTTCAGTTCAAAGAGTGTGTCGTGCGTGTGTATGTGTGTATGTGTGTGAGAGACGAGGCGTTCGCCAGCGAATATTGCCAATCTCGCTTGACCTCCTCGGCGAGAAAAGCACGCGATAACTATTCCGCGTTCGTCCAACCGTTCGTTACTTCGGGGTCCCACTCTCTCTCT